GGAAGACATAAAGTCCCCCATGAGAATGACAAAGTTTCTGTGCCTGGTAGAATCTTTATTCCACAGGGGCATCGCCTACATCTCAGTAGGCATTTGGGAGACTTGGGAAGCTGGTCCTCAAAGAGGATATTGTGTTACCTCCTACTTTATGTTTCCACTTCCACATATGTCTGTATCTTTTGCCATAACAACAAATAAAACCTTTACATCCCCTGTTGGCATCTTCCAACATTCATATTACTGTCCAGTTATGCAAAAGATGCACATAAGGATAAGAATCCTTGATTGTCCTGCCCGGCTGAGGGTGATATGGGCATGGACCAGTTACCACTGTATATTGCATCTCTCCCTCCTTCCAAGTGGTAGTTTAAAGCAATTATCCTTGTCCTATCCTCTCTTCACCACCGTCTATTGGGCATGGTATGGTGGTTAACATTATTAGCCACAGCACGTGAGGAGATTTACCTATTCTGGACAGGAAGACTTCATAACTTCCTGAGATCCTGGATGTGGAGCTGGATGCAATAATGATTGAGACTCTGAGATGTCTCTCTTTGGGGAGGGGATAACTACGTTTTCAATCATATGTGGGATAGTTTAATTTGGAGCATTTTAAGAGCATGTATGTGGCAAGAAAAGGGTGGAGTATAGTAGACATTTGCCATTGAGTCCACTGCTGCTAGCCTATAAATTGTCAAAGGTTCATATATCTTAGGTCATAGTGATTGATTCGGTATGATCTGCCAGAGCCAATAGTACATCATAAGACATTTGTGGGGCCTTGTGAAATCAGAGGCAATTTTTCCCTGAATGCTGAATTTGAACCACAGAGACTGTAAGATCCAGGTACTCCAGCCATTTTTCTACTTGAAAAATTGCAATAACCCAGAGAATGCAAAACTGAGATGGAGAGAGAACAGAATTCTGGCAGTAAGATTTGAGTTCCCATACCAAGTGACACCTGAAGTCACCGTATTCCTGGATTTCAGGTGTGTGAGCCAATGGGTTTCTTTGCTTAGGCCAGTTTGCATTGGGTGACTCACTTGAAAGTAAAGACTTTACCTTAAAAATCAAAAAATGATATAAAAATCAAAAAATGATATATAAATGAGGTGTGACCTTGATAATGTATTGAGAGAAACTTCATAATTTTATAGGCAACTCTAGTAATCTGGTACTGAGCAAACTTTAGGGATTTTGTCCCTTGATGAGTTTGTGAAAAGAACTGTTTTTACCAAAGTCATAATATAGGATTTTTGTACCATTTCTTATGCTGTGATGATGATAAGCATTTTGTTTCTCAAATTGCTCTGAAAAACTATATTTTCCCTCTTTCCGTTTTTTTTTCTCAAAAAGAACTTCCTGACTTTTTAAATATTTACTCAATAATAAATTTAAGTTTGCAGATGGATAAAACAGATATTACTCTATGAGGAAAAATGGCAAAGTAAGAGATGAAGTCAAAAGCTGTGGTCAAGGGGGAGAGGCAGGTTGAAGCTGGGAGCTGAAGAGGCAGGGGAGGCTTAGAAAGATTGTTCTAGACCCGAATTAGATGGAGTCAGCTGGGGATGAAGGATAGCACTGTGAGTCAGCCCCAAGTGTTATATGTTTGTGGGATTAGCCCGGTATTCCTTTGAGAGCAATTATAAATTACTCTCAGCTTTCCCTTTCTCAAAAAGATTGGAATTGGAGATCAAATGACTTCTGAAGAATAAGAACTCATAAGGTGTTGGAAATTGTATAAAGAAACACAAGCACGCTAGAGCACAATAAAAGTGGGTGACCAGGACACTCAATAAACACCTGGAAGGGATTATATGTTTGTGGGATTATCCCGGTATTCCTTTGAGAGCAATTATAAGTTACTCTCAGCTTTCCCCTTCTCAAAAAGATTGGAATTGGAGATCGAATGACTTCTGAAGAATAAGAACTCATAAGGTGTTGGAAATTGTATAAAGAAACACAATCGAAAGCTTCATGGCTATTTTAAAATCAAATATTAAAGTCACATTAGAAATAATCTATGATGCCTTAAGTTTTAGCAATTAGGAATTCAGTTGCTTAAAAAAATAATTGATGCATAATGTGCAACTGCCATCAAGGCATTGTTCACAATATGAAAGATGCCATACTCATCTCATGGTTTCTAATGTAGAGAGGAATTTAAACTGAAGGTAGAACTGCCTAAAACATTGGTAAAAGGCAAAATAGCTCCCTGCGCAGAGTGGGTGTTCAAAGCTCCTATCTCTTGTGGCCCTCGTCTATTTGTCTCCCATTAGTCTTACGGGTGCATGTCTTGGCACAAATGTTTAGAAAAGGCACCCAGGTATAGGCAGGTACCTGCAGGTATACACACGAAGCAACAATAAAGGGAAGGTCCAGGAGACCCTCTGCCTGTCCAATCAGCAGGGTTTGAAGCAGTCAAGGGAACGGCGTCAAGGTTGACAGTCTGGAATATTCCCAGGGAGAAGCTGGGTGTTGCCTGGCCCCATGTTCCTGATGTCTAAGACCCCCAGCATTTTTCTGTCTCTACCTCTCCTTCATGCTCGGGACACTGGAGTCCATGTAACCCATTTTGTACCCCACCTGAGGACTCAGGTAAGCTGTCTGCCTGACTTATTGTTAAGAGTTCTCCCTTTCTCAAGGGCTCCTGCCCCATCTTCCCTTTCTCATCCTGCTTTCTCACAAATTTTCTGAAGGCTCTGCTTTGCCTGGTGTCACTTGATATGGGAACTCAAATCTTCCTGCCAGAACTCTGTTCTCTCCCCATCTCAGTTCTGTCTCTTCTGCAGTTCAGAAGCTGCCTACAGTCCTATCTCTGAGATTCAAGCTTCTCTAAAATTACTGACAAGGACTAGTGGAGACTCCTTGTTCTTGGTTTTGATTAGGATTTGTACCCATGGAGGCTGCTAACTCAGACACCACTTCCTGCTCCTTCCCCGTTCACCCCTTTCTGGTGTGGTCCTGCTTTGCTCCCAGCATGCTGTGCAGCTGGCATCCTGCTCTCTGGTTACAGCCTCCTGTGGGAACTGATGCTGTCAAGGCTTTTTAATTTATCAAAGACTTTGCTATTTATAGAAAGGACTTGATTATTCTCTGGACCCTGTATTTATCTTAAAATTGTTTTCTTCACTGCATGTTTTCTTCACTGCATGTTTTCTTCACTACGCCCTAGTGTGAATTATTTTCTAAAATGCCAGTAAAGTACTAAAATAACTTCCCCTATATCTCATAATACCATGAAGCATTTGTCTTGAAAAATAAAAAGCAATCCTGTATGTGCTATGAATGACAAGTTCCTAATCTGGCATGTTGAAGAAGATGAGGTAGCTTCAAAATTCTTAAGATTAAAAATTCTTCTTAGGGTTCTCTCTACTATCTTGTCTACCACCTGTTCCTAAACTGAGAAGCATGAGATTTTTACAGACCTTCCCAAAGAGACACCAGGACCAAGAAAGGTTCAGATGAGCCTCAGTTTAGGTTAGAAACCAGCTGTAGTATTTGGAATTAGGAATTTGTTTACATTTCTACATCTCAGTGGCCAGTCTAAATCACAGTATGATGAAGTACTTACTGATTGTAGAAATCAGCCACAAACCAGCTTGGAATAATAGCCAAGTCAACTCATTACATAATGGTATGTGAAACTGAAAAGGTTAATTAATTTCTTTTTCAAAAGAATGTTTAATTTAGGCCAAATGTTTTCTTAGAGTAAACTATTTAAGTAGGAGGGTTATCCATGCACTTTTGTGCAGATACGTTCTTTTTATTTTTAGAATTAGGTCCTTTCAAATTATTTCTTTTGGGGGGCCACTAAAAATCTACGTTGAAAGCAAAATAAATTATAATTTACAGACTACTATAGGAAAATCTCTCTCTCTCTTTTTTTTTAATCAAAAGAGAGCTCTGAATCTTCATAGTAATATCTAACAAAGATGCTAGGGAAGAATTAAGGTTTTTTTGCACTGGATTTTTTTGCAATCTTCCTGCCTGTCGCACACCCCCATTTATCGAGTTTATTTTAACATCTGGCACTGAACTGAAGCAGGAGCGGGAAAAGACATTTTATTTCTTTGCATCTAAAGTCCCACCTAATAGTAAAAGTTGATAGATCATATTTATTGAATAGTTATTATTAGGCAGAAATCCATGCTGAATGCAAAAAACAACTTGAATCTCATCAATTATACACTTGAAACCAAGGTACTTGTGACAGCTGAACCCACGTCAGTGTGAAGAGCCCACAGAGAATTCTTAGACATCTTTGAGACCCATGAAATTCTTTTTAGATATTAGATAAATATTTACTCAATATTTATCCTCGCCAGTATGAATATAATAAATTAATAGTAGTAATCATGAGTTTTCTTTCTTTTTCTACAAATTTTAAAGTGTTAGACAATTTCTCTTATCAATTACAGTAATAACTTATAATAAATAGCACATCAAAAAGGCCTAAAATAATACCAGCAACCTTCCTTATACACAGAGGATCCAAGACTACAAAATCAAATTCGTTATGCCTGGAATCGCCAAACACACCTGAACAAATCTGGGCAGGTGAAGACATAGTAACAGTAGATACAACAAGTGATACAGAGTAATGCACAGACTCTGGTTAGAATGAAAGATTATTTTTCTCAACCCACAAATATTTCTTCATGACCTTAGAGGCCTGCCCTCCTTCCTACCTCTCTAGTCAGCATCCTCTCCATCAGCCATCACATTCAGGACAGCAAGGAAAGCCTAGTCCGAACAAACCTCAGTTATATTCCAGTCACATTCCATAAACAGCTTTAGCAAAGTGCAACCTACCCTTTGTCATATATTGAGAGCTACAGGAAGCATCCCCCAACTTAATCCTGTGTGCAGGTTAAGACTGTGCGTACACATGAAAGACTAGTTTAAGTAGTAACTTTGAGGGCAAAGAAAATGCACTCTGGTTTAAATGAGTTTGTGAATAGGTATAACGTATGCAGACAAACCTGGCGACACCATACCTTTCTTCCATTGAAACTTCTTTCATCTGCTGGTGTGGTTTGGTGCCCTCCATTTCCCTGATGCTCACAGCGTAGATCTTGGTAGTGTAATCAATGGCCTTTTCTCTCGCAACGTCACTGTCATAGCCTCGAACAACAGAGAGAGATGGGGAGTGGAGTTGGTTTGCTGCGGCTCAGGAGGGATGTGAAGATGGCACGGCTGGGGCATGGCAGTTGGGGCTCACCTCCATCCTCTTCTGCGTCGGTGTCCGACTCCTCGCTGTCCACCAGCTTGCTCTCCTGAGTCCCCACAAACTCCCTCGTCCAAATCATCAAGGCTGTGTCAGCGCCACCTACCGTGAGCAGCACAGAGTCGTTGTGCAGCCATCTCACGTTGGTCACATGTGCACTGTGTCCCACATACTTCTTGAATTTCGCATGCTGGCCCTGTAAAGCCAGAAATTGACCATTACCCCATGTTGGAGTCTCATTATTCCTGTCTCTGTACTATTTCATCCATGTTATTCTCTAGAGTGGCTTCTACTGGATACAAATGAAACAGTTTATTTATGCAGCATTTTTTTCTACATTTCTCTGGAATGTAAGCTCCATGAGGACAGGGACTGCGTCTCTTTTTCCCCCTAACATGTTACCTGGCTCATCATAGGTGCTCAATAAATAGTATGTGAGGAAACAAATGAAATGTTAGACTACAGAACCTATTTCTGGGAGCATAAGGAAGTATAAAAAGGTTATTTCTGTTCCTTTCAAACATCGAATATGCATTCTCCGCAGGTCTCTAGTGTAAACTCCTGATTGTCAGTCTGGCTGACAGTTGAGATCAGAAGTGTTCTCCCAGTTATTCCCCACAGTGGTATTTGTACCAAAGCCCAGACTATGACAGAACAGCAAGGGACTTCTCATAATCCTGGGGCCTCGAGTAAGATTTAAAACATACACAACAGTTTCTGCCATGGACACTGGAAACAATTTCTAATGCTAGAAACACCCAAATAATTTATTAAAAAACAAAATATGCTCCTTTTCAACAAACATGGATGAATAAATAGGACCCAATTTATTAGTAATTACTGCAATCTCTTCAGAGTGGCATGCCCAGGTCACACCGCCTTTATCCCCCCAGGTGGGGAAGGAAGAGAGCAAATGTGAGTAAGCGGCTCACTCTGGGGCCGCCCTGGCAAGTGGTGGGAGCTGACGCTGGCACTAGAAGCCAGCTTCCATTTCTGGCTCATGAGCCGCGGCCTGGTAAAAACAGCTTCAGCAGCAGCCATTTAAAGACGGAGAGTTTTTCCACCCTCTCAGCAACTCCCAGGGAATACCTTACGCAATGTGGGAAGTCATGTGTACTTTCTGAGGTCATGAGAGGGCCATCAGTGTCCCACATGAAAGCTTTATTCAATAATTGACAGGAGGCTTCCAGAGGGTTTTGGACTGGTGTGCTGGAGAACCTGAAACCTCCACAGGCATGCGGCAGGAGACAGGTGTGGGAGGGCGCATGACTTTAGAACTCCCCGGTAGAGCTCTCTCTGTATTTGGCCAACCCCTACCTGACAGCAGAATGGAACCGCCCAATCCTCAGCAGAGTACTGACTGTAGAAAAGTGAGGGAAACAAACAGGTGGACAGCATTTCCAGGAAACCCTCCAGAGCCACGAGTTTGCTAAGGGAATAGGCAGAGCAAAATAAGGATTTTCAAGGAAACCCACTGTGTGACCAGGTGAGTTCCAGAAGGCATGAAAGCAAAGAGGACAGTCACAGTGGCTACAGCCACTTGTCCTGCTGGTCCTCCTGCTAGGAGCAGGAACCAATTCATTATATATGCTGCAAATGCAAGCCGGTTTCTTGAGAGGGAGAGAAAGTAAAAAAGCCTGAGATATGCCTCTCTATACCCTTATTTATATGAGGGGGCACAGGGTTCTAGACAGGATAGAAGAAAGAATCCAAAGAGAAAGGTTTAGGGGTAAAAATATCCTAAGGTGATCAGAATCTTTATAGAGGGGAAAAAAGTGACACAAAGGAGTAAGAGAAAGGGAAAAATTCTGAGTCACTGAAGCTATCTGACAAAGCCAATATTCTCCCAGCCAAGGGTAATTCAAGATTCTCAGAATAGGAAGTAAGATCACTGCTCCAAGGAACGATAAAGGGAATTCACAGTTATTAGAAGTTTCCAGGAAAGCAGCTGCTCCCCCAGGAGGAAGAGGCTGGCAAGGATGTGTGGTGGTTCTCTTAGGGCCTTCAGAATGAGCCTCCTGAAGACCTGGCACAGCCAGTTGGATGGGCTGTTTTTCTGGATCATCATGCCAAATCGTGTATTTCTGCTACACGCATCAGGACTTGCTACCACAACCCTCCTCTTCCTCTGACTGCTGAAAGAATGGGGAGTCTGAGATATGTCTCCAGAGTGCTGGTTGTTAACCACTTTTAGGTGAGAAATTCCTGAGAATCTGATGAAAGCTGTGCACCTTCTCTCCACATTCACATTTCACATAGTTTCTCTGTATGTAAAATTTTACTGTACAAGCCTCCTCTTTGAAGAACCACTCTCTTGAGCCTTTGACATTCTGAGAAAGACTCTTAAGGGTGGGTTTTAAAAATGTAAATGACCTGGTGACATTTTAACCTCTTCAGTGTAGTATTAGGGCACAGCTTTGGAAGGAAAGGGAGGCTGTGGGAAGCAATGGGCTAGCTACACAGATAGTGTCAAAGGACAGAATCGCATGTGGTTTAAGGCCCTGGAAAATGGGTGGGCTCTGGCAAAGGAGAGTCTATCTCATGGAGGCTGGAAACAATACGATTGTCAGGGGACTAAGGATCTCAGTGAAAATATTTTAAACTGTAAGACTGAATATATAAGGACCCATAATTGTCATGGAAAGAAAAATGCCAGGAAGAGATGCCTAATAACTCATAGGAGGAGAGAAGAAAAAGGGCCAAGAAGAAGGCACAATCTTAGAGTCTGACAAACGGGACTTGAATTTTGGACACAGAGAGAGAGCTGTGTGGTGATAAAATTTCATAGTTATCACCAAGACTTGACTACATGGAGCTCAATGCTTGGAATACTATAATGGGGTGCTGTCAATCCAGCTGGGCTGCCATAAAAAAATATGACATGTTGGGTGGCTTAAACAACAGAAATTTGTTTCTCACAATTCTGGAGGCTGGGGAGTCTAAAATCAAGGTGCCAGCTAATTCTATTCCTGGTGAGAGCTCTCTTCCTGGCTTATGAACACCACCTTCTCACAATAGGCTCCTTTCCCGCCGCCCCCCCCCCCGCCCCCGTGTATGTGTGTACATGTGCATTCATAAGCGCAGAAAGAGAAAATGAGCTCTTTGGTGTCTCTTATAAGGGGCATCAATCTTATCAGGTCAGGGCCCTACTCTTATGACCTCATTTAGCCTTAATTACTTTTATAAAGACTTTATCTCCAAATACAGTTACATTGGGAGTTAGGGCTTCAAGATATGAATTTTGATGGGAACAAAGTCCATAGCAGGTGAACTTTGTCCAACATATCCAGAGTATTGGAGGAGTGTAACTACACCGCTGGAAATATTCGTCAGCTCGGGCCTATGTATTTGGAAGGGTAAGTGTGCAAGAAAAATCAGGTTAAAAAAAGAGGAAGAGAAATAATACTATCAAAAGAGTTTATATTGGCCAGTGGTTTTTGAATACTTTAAATTATGAAATCATTTCTTCAATCAAATCTTGCACAGTAAAACTCAAGAATAAAAAGATAACACAATCCAACTTAAAATAGTAGATAAAAGATCTGTACAAACACTTCACAAATGGCAAATAAGCAAATTTAAAGTGCTCAGAATCATTAGTCATCAAGGAAATGCATACTACAAACACAAGAGTTCACACTGTCTACTCCCCAGGGCAGCTAAATTTTACAAGTCTAACAACACTGAATGTTGGCAACTGGAGCTCTCTTACATTTTTGGTGGGAACGAAAAATGGAAAAAGGTCTGGAAATTTCTTAAAAAGTTAAACATACATTTCTCCCTATGACCCAGAAATTCTACTCCTACGTATTTACTTAAGAAAAAGAAAATATATGCCCACAAGGATTTGTCCAAAAATGTTATATCAATAGCTATGTGGATAAACTGTTATATTCATACAATGGCATTCCACTCAGCTATAAAAAGGAAGAGATTATTATTACACATAACAACTTGGAGAAATCGCAGAAACATCATCTGAATGAAAAAAGCCACACACAAAACAGCACTTGATTATTCCATTTATATGAAATTCTAGAACAGGTAAAACTAACCTATGGTGAAAAACGTTGGAATATTTTTTTCATGAGGTTAGAATGGGGGTAGAGACTGATCCAGAAGGAACATAAGGAAATTTCCTGGGGTGATGATAATGTTTTATATCTTGATAGGTATTTGAATGACATAGGTGTGTTTGTCAAAGCTCATCAAAAAGAACCTTAATACCTGTGCATTTAAATTGCATATAAATTTTACTTTAAAAATACCATAAATGAATGTTGGATTCTAGGTAATGATATGCATGCTGAATCATTTAGGAGTAAGTATCCTGATGTCTACAATTCACGTTGAATTATAGACTCTGGGTGTGGGGTTCTAGGAGTTCACTTTAGCTGTATGCTTAAAAATTTTTATAACAAAGTGTTGGAAAAAAACGTATATAGAAGGTCAATGTATAAAACACAGAACAGAGTGGCTCTAGCTGAAGCAGAGGTGGGACTCCAGAACCCATTCAGTTGGCCCCTACTTTGTTTTCTGGGGTGGACCCTGAGGAACCTCCTGGAACTCCGGGACACAGCTTGACATTACTGCTAAAGACAGCACGCCTGGTCAGGCCAGGTACACAGATGATGAATTTCCAGGCCCAACAATAAATCTAGCATAGGAGCATGATACAATACCAGTATGGGGATTTCAGCTATCTGGATATCTGCCAAAACCTTAGTCTAATAGTTGGGCATCATTAACTTCTTGACTTTTCCTACTGACACTCTCATTTCAAAAAAATGTAGAAATAGCAAAAAAAAAAAAAAAAATTGCTTCATAGGACTGAATTCTGATCAAAGAGCAAGAGCTGGTAAGAGACAGTGAAGTGATAGACCACTGAGAGAAGGCCACCAGGTAGTTTTGAAAGTGAAGGGAAGGCTGGATAGAATTAGAAATGAATCTTAGAAAAGGCTCCCCAAAATTATTTTCTGACAAGATATTAACAAATGAAGAAGGACAAAGGACGGCATCTGAAGATACCAAAGTGGCTGCAGAGGGAACTGGTGGGTTGTTTTAAATGTACGGATGACAAAAGGAGGAGCGAATAACCAAGGATGAAAACAAAAGTCTTGCACAGACAACTTTACTATAGTTTCAGGAATGTTAAAGTCAAAAACTATGACAATTGCAAAGGTTTTCATGTATACAGGGCTGAAAGAAAAATAGAGAAAAGTTAAGAACACTTCTTTTAGATCAGATGGTTTAAGATAAACAGAAAGCAGATTTACTTATTTCTTCTATTAAAGAGAATGCTCTTCAAACCACAAAGGCAAAACAGAGCTCATGCACTTCAGTACAGGTGCCTTCAAATGTGACCACAGAAATAAGATCAGTAATAGCTGAGGAATTTAGAAACCAGGAGAGGTGATACAAACATAAAAATGTTCCAGGATCCAAAAGGGAAAACAAGTAGAATCTAGCAAAATATTGATTCGTGAGTTGATGTAATCCTTGGAAAATTCTAGGGTGAATTATTACACAAAACATCGATAAGAACATGAAAAAGGAAGCAATGATTACTAGGCAGCAACAGGGGTTCACTGTGAACTATCCCCATGTCTTTTACTGGGTGGTTTGTTAGAAGGCGGGATTAGGGATACTAGAGACACAATTAATCTGGCTTTTAGCAAGATATGTGCCAAGTCTTCAGTGATGTCTTGCCGAATGAAAAAGGGAAATATGAGCTCCCTGACAGCATAATCAGATAAACATAAATGTCTGTAACTGACTGAAGAACTGTAACGACATGTGTGCATTAATAAACAGAATGAAAAACTAAATGGGGGCTCTTGGTGGTGGTGTTTGGTTGTTCTAGTCTATATTTTGTTTTCTTTCCAGGATTTAGAACTCATACTTGTGAAATCAGAGAATAATGTGATGTTGGAAGGGAAAGTAAATACTTTCAAAAAGTATTTAAAAGATGGTGACAGTTTGGAACAATGAGATAAAATAAACAAGATAAATCTTATTTGGCACAAATATAAAGTTCTGTACTCAGAGTTTAAAAAGTCAATTGTTTGGGTACAAGATAGAGGATAACCTCAACATTTTTGGCAGTGACATCTACGATTCAATTGTGTAGTGTGGCAGCCAAAAGAGCCGATGCCTTTTAGTTTGATTTAAAACAAATATAGTTAAAACAAGAAGAGTCCTACAGTACCCTGAGCTGGTCAGATTACATCTGATGCACTGAATTCAGTTCCAGATGAGATTGTTTAAAATGGAATTGATAGAATGGAATGTGCTTAGAGGGAGGGAGAACTAAAAACCATGTCACATGGCTGAGGGAACTGAAGATGTTTAGGCTGGAGAGAATGAGACTTCAGGGAGCCAAATATGATCCTCCTATATACAAAGGCTGTTAAAGGACTAGAATTATTCAGTAAGGATTCTGAAGGTAGAACTTTAGCTAAAGAGAAAAAAATTCAACTCAATATGTAACAAAACTTTTTTTAAAATTTATTATTATTATTTATGTCTGCAACACCTGGACTTCCTAGGTGGTCTCCCATCCAAGTACTAACCAGGCCCAACACTGCTTAGTTTCCGAGATCAGACATCAGGCTTGTTCAGGGTGGCATGGCTGTAGACCATGGACTGTGGCTCCATGGGGGCATGAACCCAGGACCTTCCACGTGTAAAGCAGATGTGCTAATCACTACACTATGGAACCACGTCCTAGAACAAAACATTTTAACGACTGGAGCTATTTAAAAATGAATCAGGCTGCTTTGTGAAATGGTAACTTCATCTTGGGAAGTGCGCTAGTACACGTTTGAAAGACATCAGTCTAAGGTGTAGTAAAGAAAATTTTTACTCTGCAGTTTGTGAGATGTTGGATTTAATGACCACTAAAGGCCTTTCAAGGAGAAATTCTATGCCACCAAAATCTGACTCAAATTAGTAAATATCATGTCATGAAGGTTTTTATATAGCATAAAGAATGATACTGTAGATAACATTATTGATTCTTTATGCCTTCAATATTTAAAAATCCACTTAGATAAAATAGATTTGGGGTCATTAATGACTGAGCAAGCATATATAATAAATATGCAATATTACCTTGACAGGATATGAAAAAAGCTTGACGAAACCAAAATCATCTCCAGTGGCTAAAAGGGAGCAGTCTTTGGTGAGACTGGCAGCATTTACATCGGTCACATCACTGTGTGCTGGCCAGATCCCCTCACAGGTGGGCCCCAGGACACAGGTCCACGTGTCCCACTCTATCTTCTCAATCTTAAAAAGGAGAAAAGAAAATTAATATATTTTTGCATAACCTAGAGATCTTTTTGCCTAAATGAAACAATTTAAGACTGAATAGTTCTCAATGACGACTGCCAACATCAGGTATTTGTGTTGGGTGCTGAGGTACACAAGTTCTAAGCTGCATTTTTAAAGTGGTAGATGCACTGTCTTAAGAAACCAACACTGCAGTCAAATATCCATATATTCTTTTCTAGATAAGATGAACATTTTTGAATTGTGGAAATTTAACAATAAAGTTTTTTAGTTCTTACCTAAATACAATTTATCATTGTATAAACCACAAGCCAGAGCAGGGTTTTTCAGTGTCAGCTCTACTGGCATTTTAGGCTTTGTTGTCAGGGGCCATCCTGTGTATGGTCATATGTTTAGCAGCATCCTGGTCTTCTACCCACTGGATGCCTATAGCACCTCCTCTCCAAGTTGGTTCTAGACATCGCCAAACGTCTTGGGGGAGGGGGAAAATTGCTCCCAACTGAAACCACTGAGCTGGATTGATCAATGGGACCGATCATTTAGCAAACTAATTTAAAAAGCTACAAGACATAACTTTCTAAAGATGGCTTTTTGGAAAAAAGAGTAGTGAGATTCTGCAACTAGCTTAATAACCATTATGCTCTAGAGAGACTATTTTAAAAATCTGAAGAGCTGTTCATATGGTACTACCATAAATATAAATTTTATTCTTTAAAATTATTTTGTCTGAAATTGATGGACAGAAAGTTTGTATAGGTTAAATGCTGGAAAAAAAATCGAGTCTTTTAAAATAAAACAGCAACAATAAACAATAACAACACTGTGTATTAGACTTCTTGGAAGATTTCATCTCATTTACTCTCATTTAAGAACTGCTAGTACATCTTGATACTATAGTTTCTTTAGATAAGCACTTTAAAGCACTGTTTAGAATAGTATAAAAATCATTAGAGGACTGTAGCTAAAATTACAAGCCAGACCACTCCCTTTGGATTTGATAACTGCTTTGCACACAGTTAACACACCTCTCCTCAATGCTGTTGTTTTCTGTTAGCTGTCGCTGCTTAGAAATAACAAGATAGAGATGCAGCCAGGATTTCAGTCATGAGGGGAAGTGCTAGTCGTATTTTAACATTTCAGATGTCTTCTCATTTAACAGTCTATGTTTCTTCTGGAGACACAGAGAACTGGAACCAAAAACCTGCGCTGGCCCGGTCGGTGACTTGAGGTGCCACGAGCAGGGCCACAAACTGCAGGGACTTGAGATGGTTCTCACACTTACCTCAGCTTCCTGAGGGGCGATGGAGATTCCTCAACCCTTAGGGCGTCCTACACTGATCTCCACAGGAAAAGGATAGGGGAATCACCCCTGCTGCTTCTAGAAGCAGGCTTTCTGGTCACTGCCTCCTTTCCAGGTTTCAGAGTCTACTTCTGAGACCCTCACTGTTCATCCCCAATGCCGCCTCCCTGGGTGACGCCTTCCCTGGCCTCATTATCTAGGCAGGAAAATGGGGCGAGCTGGGATTGTTCATCATACAGTCACCCCAACAGAATACCCTTAGATCTGGACACTGTGCTCTGATGGGAGGCAAATGTCTAATTTGTTAGAAGGTACAGAAATTGCATTTAAAATAGAGCATTTAGAATGACTCCTCTAACCCACAAAGCCCAAAAGGGGTAAACAAGCTTGTTAAAAACGCTGGAATGTAGAAGGAAGGAGAGTCCTCAGTCTCTTCCTTAGCACTTTGCCAGATCACCATTTTCCAGAGAAGGCCACTCTGGAAGCCCACAGAGAAGACAGTCACATAAGTCACCGCACACTTAGGAAGCAGAAGGAAAGTGAAAGTCTAGAGAGCTGGCCTCCTAGTATAGAGCTACTTTAACTGCACCGAGTTGCATCAGATGGATTTAAATTGACATTTTAATATTTGTCATATTTAACTATATTCTGGATAAGCTTTATATTAGTTTCACTGCGGCTGTTTCTTTTTTAAAAAGCTTTTAAAAAGGAGATTTTCAAAATCCTTCATATCCAGTTGAAGGGCCTGACAATATTGGTGATGAAAACCATGAGCTACCTCTTTGGTGCTCCTAGGAATGGCAATACCAGGGAGGCCAGGCTGAAGCAACGTTAGCTGCAGGGACTCCCCAGGCAACAGCACCAGAGATCAGCCTCTGGAATAACAAATGTGCGTCACAGTGACAATGAACTCTTTGGAACTAGAGCCTAGCATTTCAGGCTTATAGCACAAATTTCCCTCTTATGTAAATTATTCTATGTAATAATTGCTCTTCTGTCTCAAGTTGGCTTCACCTCCCATTCCTATCATTTGGTTAAATTGCACTTTATTTTAGTATTCTTATTTTGGGTCACCAGAATGGGATGGGAAAATATGGGTGAAGTGATGTAAAACGATGCTTAAAAACACTGAAGAAATTCCGGTAGAATCACACAGAGACCTTTCTAGACTGGGATCATAGCTCCATGGTCTTACTCTCTTGGAACCTTTATTTCTCTATATGTAAAATGAAACTGACAACTATCACACAAGGCTATTGTGAAAATTAAAATACAGGCATATAAAGTGCCTGACACATTCAACAGATGTTCAGTGAATGAATGACATAATTAAAAATATCCTTACTCAAGGCTATGTTTCTCCATATGCGACAACATGGATGGATCTTGAGAGTTATCGTGCTAAGTGAAGTAAGTCAGACAGAAAAGAACAAGAACCATATGATTTCATTCTGATGTGGGGGTATAAAACAGAAAGCAACAAACGAACAACCAGAACAAACTCATAGACCCAGACGACAGTGTGGTGGGTACCAGAGGGGAGCAGGGAGAATAAAGAGGGTAAGGGGGTGAAAATACATACTGACGGAAGGAGACTAGACTTTAGGTGGTGAGCTCACAATGAAGTATACAGACGTTGTATTATAAAATTGTATATCTGAAACTTATATAATGTTATTAACTAATGTTACCCCCAATAAATTACTTTATTACTTTATTTATTACTTTATTACTTATTTATTTATCTCACCTCTCACAGTTAGATTTCTTTCTGTAACCACATATTTGACCCC